TAACACCGTACATACCGTGCGACAAAATTTAAATAGGTAGAAGAAATGTTCAGACTGCAATTTGTATATATTTTTAGCAGCTAGGCTCCTTTTGAGCATGAAAATTTATAAGATTCATGCTCATACCAAAAAGAAGTATCAGCTGCCGGTTACTTATTCTACTAATCGTCAGTTTTTTCCAGAGAATTTGTGAATATAGCTTATTTTAACAATCTTGTGAGGTGATCGCTTTTTAGGAGGAAAACCAAGTAATCAAAAATCATCTCCTTCGTAGTTGGATTATTTTTTTTCTTTAAGAATATTCAAGTTCGTGGGGGGAAAAGATTATTAGGGCAGCATCTTGAGCCCGTCTAAATGGAGAGGTAAATGATTAAAAAGCGCGTTTAAGGTCTTAAAAAGTAGCCTACATTATGTCACGAACAAGCTGTAAGCTGTCAAACTCATTGTCTAATTCATTAATTTGAATAGTTACGCGCTTTCAGGGAAGGTAAACTTTCGGCGAAAAAAAATAACAATGAATAAATTAACGGCTTGAATTTAAAACGAGTAGCAATTCCCAGAAGCAAGAGCCAGATCCTTGTTGCAAAACTGTTACGCTGTGAACCAATGTTGAGGCAATCTCGTTGCACTTTCGATCAAAATCCAAATTTCAACGATCAAAAAAGCAAGTTCCGTTTGTGATTGAAACTTGGTTTATTTGAAATATTTATAAAAAAATTTACCATTAAAAGGTAAATTACCCTCTTAAATTTGTGCGTTTACAATTTCACAAGAAAAAATGAAGATTTTAGTGGGTAGACATAAAAATTGGCAACATGCGAAAAAATTAAATCAACCTGTTATTAATGAATCGATTATTAAATATAGGTTTCGTACCTTGCTAAAAAAATAAATAAAAAAAGTCGAACGAAAATATGATACAACATGCGCTCTGTGTATATAAAGGTAAGTTTTAAAATGGAGGATACCCTCAACTGTGATGTCAAACAATTCATTTCACTGGTCAAGCGCTAATTATTTATATAATGACTATATTTAGCTGAAGTTAATGAGGTATATTGAGCTAAAAATTTGGCTCAGGCACAAACGGCTTACAGGCATGTGGGCAAAAATGATACCCCTTCACCCATCGGAGCTTCTGTTCCCCATTCACCCGCCGTGAAATCTACGCTGGCATGTTAGTATTAATGAAGCTTATTTGGCAACGTTGCAACAAGGTCACGAAATTGTATGTGTTGCTTTGCTTCCATATTATTACTTTATGGCAATTTGGTTTTCAGTTGCTCATATAATTGTAATGTCCCGCTATTTTTTAGCACTAGCTGATCCCATTTTAATGGAGTTTCGGAGGTTTTTGGAGACTGGTATAAGCCACTGATCATTGACAGAAAGGGAAGACTTTTACTTTAAAAAACCGCGTCCCTGGCCAACTTTAGGATCCAACCGTTTTGATCGGTTTATTTTTAAGTTGCCAGAAGTCAACTTCATTGACTTTTCTCTCGTGTTTTGACCTTTCAACATTTCCGAATATAATATTTTTCAAAAATGATCTTGGAAGGTCAGGTTATTGACAAAGTATACTGACTATCTCATTTGTGAAAGACCGGCAGTCCTTAACATAGACCCGAGTCTCTAACATTATGGACGAAATTTACTATTCAGACAGTGTAAATTCCGCTACACACTCCCATATTTCGAATTTTTAGGGGGTAAAATAAGCTCCATAGTGTAATGAGCTCCTGGTTTCACTTCAAAATTTTTACATACAGCCCTAGGAGCCGCTTATACAGCACTTTTTGGCGCTCTGCGACACCTAGCCGCCAAAGTCCCCTAACCTCCTAAAGCCCTTCCGGTAGTTCGTACTTCCTCATTTCCTCTAGAGCCCCCCATTCCCACCCTTTCACTGGGCGTCCCCTTTGTCTTCTCTCAGGAGGAACGCAATCAAGCATTTTCTTTGACAGCCCTTCCTCCATAATCCTGTTAACAGAAAAGCTGTTTGATCTTGACGTCGAATACGATGTCATTTTCGAAATTGTTGACAGTTTAAAAGTTATTATCCGAGATCAGGACCAATCCTCGCAAGAATCATGTTTTTTTTAGTTAGCGTTTGGCACACTAAACACTATTTTCAAAAGTCTTAGCAAATTTCTTAAGACGGCATTCATGGCTCTCATAAGATGGTATACATTTTCATTTCTGTTAAAAAATGAACAAATTCCGAGTCTCATTTGGTGAGTTTTGCTTTATTACCCATTAACGTTTGAAATTAACATGAAGCTTATCATCAGGCTCTAAAAACCTCTTAACGTTCAGAGGCTAATTTTAAAGTTAGAGACTGAGACTTCCTCCTACTCTGCCATGCTGAAGAGGGACGCCGTATGAACCTTCAGATGTTGCCAACTTTCCATCTACAAAGCACGAATTTTGGGGGAACTTTGAGAATATTTATTTTACAATTTATTCAGAGAATGTTGTTCGTAATTAGGTCTAAAACGTCCGAAATATCCAGGGGAAAATATTTATAATTTTCTTCAAAAATAAGTATTATTTTGGCAATATTCGAATGTTCATAGGGCGTTTTTCCTTCACACGGTATTACTGCGCTCAGGAAGAGTGCAGGACATGTACACTCAAACGTTGTCAAATTGTTTCCGAATGAATAGTTATTTTTAAAAATGGTATGCACAGTTTTCCTTGACATTTTCAGAAGTGCTAGAATTAATCATGAAAAAAAAGTCTAAGGAATTCAACGAAAATATCTCACAAATTTTCAAAAAAATCCGCGTTTTACTAGGCAACATATGGCAAGTGATACTTTTTCCACCAGTTTATGTTCGAGTGACGCCCGGAAATTCGGGTAGAATTCGGCATCGCTGTACTCCAGGTGGCCGTGATCTGTATCGCAAAGCGGCGGGCACAAAAAAAAGGCGCGGAAAGTTTAAAACTTGACCAACCCGTTATCGAATGATGCAAGTGAGAGGACGTTGCGTCATGAATACGCAAGGCTCAATGAGCAGATATTGGTTATAATAACACTATCTCGGTAGGCTGCAAGATTTCAGAGAAAAACAAAGACATGGCTGGTCCACTGTTCCCTATTTCTCTTTCCACTGAACGGACAATCCATTTATTACTTTAGGTCTAGTGTGACAAGTGCAAGGTGAAAAGGGAAGATTCAGCGTTGTCAAATAACGTACACTTTTGTTCACATATTCGACAAAGCGAATGTAAAGTACAAATACTTTAAAAATGAAGATTTGGCAACACTCTAAAAGTTAATGGGGTGTCTAAGCTTTTGAGAGTCTCAGAATACGGGAGCATAAACGAACAAAAAAGTAGTTATTTGGATATTTTGACACGATAACCTAAAAATGATAAAAGTGGCGAAGAAATGACTTTGTAGCGAAAGTGAAGAAATCGGAGCTTAGTTAAAGGTCAATTGGTAACATTCTGTTGATATCCAGTTGATTGGTTATGGCGGAAAAACTCGAATGATCTTTTTATCTAAATTTGAGACACGAATATGTTTGAAATTTCTTTGGAGCTTGAGTAGGAACACACGGTGATTACTGGAATTAGACACACAAACCAACAATTGTTGGACTATTTTCAACATGACAGCATGATAAATGTAAACAAAGAGTCAGTTAATTCTACTTCTACATACATATCTATTAGATACCTAAACACGCAACCTAAACCACAGATCAAAGTGACCAGATACCTAGCATCAAAGAATACAAAAAGAACGGTAAAAATTTTGGTAAGAATGACATTTGAACCAAATGTATGATTTGGTGAAAAATCACTTCATGGGTGCTTTAAAAGTAGATGAATGTTTGTAGAAACCGTTCGGCGTTCAATCTCAAGACTTTCAAGGCTTACTTCTCTAAAACTACAACACTGTCAAGAACTGTCGCAGGCAGCGAGAAAGTTAAAAACAACCATCCATGCGCGGGAAAACTATTCAATCACAAACTACAACTTTAATAACATCCGGTGAAGACATTTGAATGCAGAATTTCAGAGCACAATCAGGAGCCCGGGGTGAGCGATCAGAGACAGCTAGTGAGGTTCGGAAAATAGTAGGAAAAGTTCTGGATACAGTAACATGATAACAAAATCTAGCGAACCACTCTCCAGAAATCTTGCAAGGACGCCTGCACGCAGGATGCTCATGGCTGCAGCAGGTGAATGGCACAACACGGTCAAAAAAAAAATGTCGAACAGGTCAAAAACAGTCCAAAATCGAGAAACAACAGTTGAAAATTCCGGAGGGCGAACAATAACAAATCTGCAAGATCCAGTTTACGGAAAAGAGCGCGGTAAGAAAATCGTGGAAAAGGGGCTTAGTACTCAAATTTGAGTAACCACTAGCCGGAGATCCGGGAAAGACACCTGCACGTAGGATGCCAATGGCTGCAGCTTCGAAACAATATAGAGCGATCAAATGCCGCACTCAATAATAAATAAAACAACGGTCCAAAACGGCCAAAAAACAGTCCCAAAAACGATCAGCGAATAGTCCACAAAAGCCGGAAGGAACGATGGAGGTATCCAAAGCGGGCACGTGAGGAAAAACAACGGTGAAAAATATCCCGAGGGTGAAGGGCTCAACACCAAACCCGAAAATTCCGTAAAACATTCTGAGTGCAGAATGTCCATTTCCGTAATCCAAAACCGTAATCCGTTTCCAATCGGTTCCAAACGGTTTAAAAACATCGAAAAACGGTCGTAAAAGCCGGCACGGCATGCTATTTAACTCCTGCGGCTGGAAAACGGTCCCAAACAACGAGAAAGATGGCTGTAGGTCGAGATCGGACTTTCACAGTGTAAACCCGGTCGAAAACTATCAAAAACTAGTCAAAAGAGTCCAAAAAACCCGGTCGAAAACGGTTCAAAAACTAGTCAAAAGAGTCCAAAAAAAAACCGGCGGAAGAGGCGCGGGGCGGGCTAAGACGCTACGAAGCGGGAAGCGGATGGCTGAGGGATGGACTCACCAAGAAGACGAGTCTGGCGCTCATTTCTATCAGGTGTCGGGCGGGTTGAGCATGGTGCCGCACAGGAGATGAACAACGACCGGGCAACGGACGACAACTGAGGCGGCGGCGGGCAGGCCGGGCCCCGGGCCGGAGCGGCCGCCGGTCGCGTCCGGTCGCGCCGCGTCGCGGCTCCCACCCCACGGGGTTGCGTCACGGCCACGCCGGGGAATCAAGTCCAAGGCTCCAACCCTGACTCCGGACCGCGGAGTGCGGGTGCGGGTGCCGCGCCGAGCGGTGAAGCATGTGAGGATGTCGACGGGCATCCGGATCGTGCCGTGATCGGAAGAGGGTCCCGCAGATGCAACTGCAGCCCTTGTTGAGGCAAAGGTCTCCCCGAAGACCTTGCCGATTCTGCCGTGCACAGGAAGTATGAATATTCGGCGTGCCATGACACACTGGCGGATCCAGCAAATTGGCAACACTGATTCTCCATGTAAACCTGTGAAAATGTATCGATTCTCGGAGGGGTCACGTAAGGTCCCTTCATACTGAGAGTGAAGACAGTACGGATCCATTTCTGATTCGTTCCCGAATTTTAGGCCTTCACAGTCTCACGAACGGGAATAAAGATTACATTTTCACCAATTGCAAAGATTATAAACAGAAATCGACCGGGGTATTGGAGGTATGGCAAGGAATTAATAAATGGGGAACGGAGACAGGAATTTGGAAACGTTTTGATCAAAGATTACATGAAACATTCGATTTGTGTAATCTTTATTCCCGTTTTTGAAATCCATAGGCTGCGTTGTCTTACCTCTCTCTGTAGAGGGACTCTAGGGTCGCGAGCTACTTTTGCCAAATTGGTGGATCCGCCTCTGCCGTGGTAGTGATAAGAGCCGTGTAGGGGTTTTTCAAAAAATTTCATTCGCAATTTTTTTCCAAGATATCAGAAAATATTAAAAAAAAAGATTCATCGTTTTCTTAATTGTGAATATTTAACAGTGGGAATGTGGCAATATTCGGATTTTCACATGACATTTTTCCTTAGCACGGCAGTTTTAATGTCAGAGCGTAAAATGTTACGGACGGGCCTTCCGTTTTTGTAAGATCGTCAAATATCAACCAGAAGATCCATAAAAATACTTAGGATGACAAATTTTATTTTCAATTTGATAAAAAAAATGGCCTAATGATTTTCATTTTAGGCTAAAGCTACAGGCAATACAACTGAAAGTGCATGCTCTCAACGTTGTTATTCCGTCACACAATTAAATTTCAAGGTTAGGCTAAGAAAAGAATTGGCAGATAAGGGCGGAATTTTACTTTAAGGCTCAGCTTCCATTGGTTCTCTGCCGGAAAAATACCCCTAACGACTGTTTTGCCTGAAACAACGTCAACTTTTCCACAATTACGGCTCTCTCATAGGCCTTAATTTGATAAAAATACAACGAACTTTGCCGCCTTAGGTGTTACTTTTCTGAGGAATACTGTTAGAAATCAGCGAAATCTTCTACGAAAATTATTGTTTTGTCTTGCAATATTTCAAAATCTTCGCCTACGTTTCAATTTTTTTACAAAATAAATGGCTCAAAAGTTTCACGAAATACTTTTCACAAGATGAAGAAAATTTAGCGAACACACCAAATTTTATGAAACTTTATGAAATTTTCTGGAACTTATTTCCCCCCTGACTTTTTCATTGCATTTATACTCACAGTTTTTACATTGAAACATATATATGTCGGTCACTTTTTTTAAGAATTTAATTGTTAAATCAGCAATCTCTTTTTCCCGTATGCCCGGAACACCAATTTCATGACTCGAAGTATGATAAGTCTCATTTTGAAAGTGACAAAACGGAGCTGCGTTTTCCTGAGGAGGAAACACATCTCTATTCTAAAGTTGCAGAATCTACTTACAACCTTATTTTCTTTCATAGGCACGGAATTGTTAAATGGACCGCTATTGCCAAATTTAACTGAGAAATTTAATTTTTTACGCGAGAACGTTTCTCTGGATTCCTTTAAAAATTTTAAGGAATTTGCTTAGTGCTATGGAGAAAATTCGCTGAAATTTGCACGAAGACCCGCACAACCGTTTTCATGTGAAAATTGAATCACCAAAATTTGGCAATAGCTGATGTGGCTTGGTTCCTTTCTGTTTAACACGGTCCAAATGTGTGAACGGAATTGTTAAATCAGCAATTTCATTTTTCCCGTGCATTTTGGCAACCTCGCAGCATGAACCCGCAGAAGCGGAAGCTAGCGGCCGCGAACATGAAAAAGTTGTGATCCCGTCATTTTCGGGATTAACCGGGGAAAACGAGCTTAGTGTCATTCCTACGCAGCGTGAGTCACGGGCGGGTCATTGACAGGCCGATGAGATCAGATGGATACACAGTCGCCGGAACACCCGATCGCCGGCTATTAATCTCCCAATTGATCGTCAATATTTAGCAATTGAAATTGCCGCCGACGCGAATCTGCTTATGAATGGACTCGCCTCGGCGCAAGCCAAGTTCATGCACGGCGGTTTGAGCTTATTAATCTTTAATCGGGCGATGACTGTTTGCAGACACACTCATCGCTCAACAGGTGCCGCGGAAATCACCCGTCATGAACTTCCATGAGTCCACTGGCCACTTGAGTCCCTAGTCCAGTAGTCCCTTTATACCGAGAGTAAAGACAATACGAGTGCGTTTCTCATTGGTCCCCGTATTTTAGGCCTCCAAAGTGTCACAAACGGCACTGGAAAAAAATACATTGGATCTAGAGTCCAGACTCTTGAAAACATTGACAAGAAAAAGGACTCTTGATTCAATCAGATTTAAACTTAAATCAAAAGGAAATCCGCTCAAATTAAGAGGCTTATTGGTTCTTGATTTAAGCTTAAATCTGATTAAATCAAGAGAATTTTTTCTTGTCGATGTTTTTAAGAGTCTGGAATCTAGATCCAATGTGTTTTTTCTTCCAGTGGGGAATAAAGATTACATTTTCACAGATTGCAATGATTTTAAACTGGAATGGACCAGGGAATTGAGAACGGCAAAGAACAAACGGAATGAAAGAAGGAACGAAGACACGAATTCGAGAGTGAGTTGATCGAAAATTACGAAAAACGTTCAATTAATCAATTCATTTGTGTAATTTTTTTTTCATATATACAGTAGACTCTGAATTATCCGGATTAATTGGTGCCGGGCCCGATCCGGATAAAAAAAATCCGGATAATAATAGTAAACACAAACACCACCGACCAACACTACAGTATTCTTATTATGTATACATCATGCACATACCAATACGACTTTAAAAGGTTAACGCCAAATTGAACGACTCAATGGTGATTGAGAATGGTAGCCGACAACGATAAATTACAATACAACGATTAAAGCGCGCAATGCGTGAAGTATTCATACAGTCTTGTAGCCGTTAATGTTCGTTTTAGGCTAACCTAACCGACTGCACTGCGTTTGGCGTAATGCGAGAAGTATTTATGCAATCTAGTAGGCGCTAATGCGTTCCACGCCGACCTCATTATTTGGCGCAATGCGTGAAGTATTCCTTCAGCCTTGCAGGCGCCAATATGCCTTGCGACCGCTTCTCAAGATCGCTCCTCACTCCTCACCGCGGATCCGCTCACTTATCGGAATGCGTACGTAGTTACATGGTTGCAAAATCGATCCGGATAATCCAGGGTCCGGATAATACGAAGCCGGATAATGTAGAGTCTACTGTATATATTCCAAGAGTCTCCATGCGACCCGGTGGCCATACTCTCCCTCTGAAGTTACTTTAATTCCAAACTTAAAAGAATTTGCAGAAACTACAATAAGCCGAACTTTCAGCAATCCATATTAATCGAATTATTCGGTTCGTCGAAGCGAAATTTTGGTTCGTAGGATTGAACGTACGGTTCGTGAGATTGAATTAAACCGAACGGGTAAAATAAGTTCTGTTACACAAATTAAACGTTGGATCCTATACAGGCCGAGATTTCGATTTGACAAACCGGAAAGTTCCATCAACACGGAACATCGAACATTGGCTCATGAGATCAACTTCCATTTTCAAAGCAGTAAAAATCTCAGGAGCTGAAAATCATGAATCAAATCTGTAAAATATTTCGATTTTTTATATCTGAAGTTCTACAAATTGAGCAAGTTTTTTAATTATAGATCGAGGGGTAGCGTGAAAATTTATTTTGAAGCATCAAGTTCAGACCAAAGAACGACCTGTCGATAAAAGATGCGCATCACAGATACCTTATTTTTCATCCTTGCCGGCTATTGAGAAGAATCACTGAAAAGCAGGATGATAGTACCCTTTCCTATTTTATTTACCGGGAGAAACTTCGAGGAAACATCATAAAGGTTCCATCGTGATGTGCTGGTCGTTAGGTTCGTGATGAAAGTTTTCATCTTTGAATTGCGTTGAAAAACGTCCCCTCTTGTGAAACCTGCATCGTTATTTGTTTTTACGCTGCGATAATTGAAATTACTGCTAATATTTATGATGACTTACTCGCAACCTATGGTCAATCGTGTATGAATTTTTCAAACATGAGTGCAACTGGAGGAATTTCTCCGCGGAAACATTTTTTGAAGATGAGACTTGACTTTTTGAATAAAAGATTCCAGCATCAACCGACAGGCACGTGGAATTGGTGCGTTGACCTCTCGACTCAACTTATTATGATAAGTAATGATGTCTGCAAATTCAGCATTCTCTTCTAAGAAAGAGTAAAAGTGCAACTAAAAATTTGGGCGAGGGCAGATATCTCCTCCTCGAAAACAATTAAAATAGTGTCATAAGAACCACCCCAACGGTATTCGCACAGTTATTTTCCACAATACCAAACGACCAAGTAGCACTGTTTCAATGCAAACTATCCTACCAATGCTCATTTCACTTCCACAACAATTAAATTATTCCCGGCTGGCTCTAAAAATAAACCCTCACAGGGAGACGCATTTTATTTATAAAGTCTCATCTCAACGTTGCCAGCTGACCAAAAATTCTGCAAATTTCTTTAAATTATACGTTTGCCGTTTTTCCGGACTCAGGTAAGCATCATTGGTATTGTGATTTTGAATATTTCTGACTGGACTGTCAAATTGCAGT